GGAGGCTGAGGCAGGAGAATTGCCTGAACCCAGGGAAGCAGAGATGGCAGTGAGTCAAAATCATGCCTCTGCACTCCAGCCTGGGTGAAAAAGAAAGTGTCTCCAAAAAAAAAAAAAAAAAGAATGTTCAAAGCAGCCCATAATGCAAATTGGGGAGGATAGGGGGAGGAATTACATCTCTATCAAGTGGAGACAGGGTGAATAAATGTAATGAAATCAATGTGTCCGGTGGACACCTAGTAGCCGCTCATAAATGAGGTAGCTATGATTGTACTCACATAGAATAGAGGCCGTGATACAGTAAGTAAAAAAGCAAAATACATAGTTCCCATGTTTCTAACACTGTACATATAGGAATAGATATGCATATACATGATAATGTAATGACAATATAAATGTTTGTAAATGCATAGATAAGAATAGAAAAACTGTTAGAGTTAAACTCTATGAAATGGGATTTGGAAGGGAAAGGAGGACATTTACTTTTCCGCTAGTCAAAATTCTACACAAAAATGTATGATTTTTATCAATGTTTAAAGAGAACATGAAGGGATAAAAAGAAAAAGCATTAACTAAGAGAAGAGTCTGGGAGAAATGAGAACGGCCAGCTGTCTGATGCCCTTACCTTTCCTGAGACAAGTTCTTGCCATAGGCTTTGCTGACAAAATCTGTTAATTGAAACTTTGGGCAAGATGCTGCGTCTTTCCCACAGTCTTCAAAGTGCATGGAGAGAAAGAGGTCACTCAGACGCTGCAGCACTTGGGAGTGGGCCATGTTTCTTGCCGTGCATATGTTTAGGACCGCATAGAACACTCCCTCCAACCACTTGATATTGAGGATTATTCCCCCTACACACCAATGAGAAGGTAAATACCAGTTAGCACCATCAAAAATGAGTTGCAGAGAACCTAGAATAAACCCCTGAGAGTGAATAGCCACCTTTTTTCTTTTCTTTTTTTTTTTTTTTCTTTTTTTTTTTTTTCTGTGTTTTTTTTTTTTTTTTTTTTTTTTTTTTTTTTTTTTTTTTTTTCTTTTTTTTTTTTAGAGGTTACTGCTAATCAAATAGCCACCATTTTTCCAAGACAGGTTGGTAATACGAACTACAAGATGAGCAAACACTCCTTCCTGAGCCACAAGCCCTACCTGTGCCCTTTACAACACATCATGTGTTGAGCATCTCAGAGGAGGACAGATATGACTAACATAGACATTGCTAGTGGCAAAGGTGTCTCTAGAATAGTTGTTGCTAATAAGGAGAAGGAACTGTGGGAAAATGCAAGATTAAAACAAGGAAAAGCCATTTTAGTACCATATTACATCCTCCTGTTGAAATAAGCTATCTCCTCTTTTGGTTTTTAGTTTGTCCTTAAGAAGTAGAAATAATCAGGCTTCTCAGCTCTTCCTAAGTAGCTCTCCTGCAGTACCTTGTCACACACACACACACACACACACACACACACACACACACACACACACACAGATTTAATAAGATAGCAGCAATGGGCCAAGAGGAAAGAATTTCAAAAGAATGCCAGAAATATGTTGAGCCATGACCAGCAGGACTGTAGGGACAGGTAGCTTGAAGAATTGTAGGATCTTGGAGAGCAGCGATGATTTCCTTATTGGCCCCCCAGATGTTGACAGAATCTTCCCCATACCAATACTGAGGCCGCAAGATATTGGTGTGGCTCAGCAGTAGTTTCAACCTGGAAGTAAAGCCAAGAAAGGGAGTGCAATGCCAGGACTGGAATAAATGACCACATAACCTACTGTGTTTATATCCAACCCCATCAACAGACCCCCGCACAACTCAGAGACAAATGCGGGCCTGGGTCTGTACTGATTAGTTGGATTTTTCACTAATCAGTTGGATTGTTCATCCACCTAACAAATCCTTACTTATTGAATGTTATCATGTGCCAGGCACTGGACTAGAAACTAGATGTGCAGAAATAATATTTGACACACACTTTCAGTAACTTTTCATGTTATTGCCTGATGGTTTCCCTTCTCATTGATACACAAGGAGAATACTTCAGTGTTCAAATAATGGAAATAAATGTTCTCTTGCAATTTTAAACCTTAACCTTTGTACAGCAACAAAAATGGTTTGTGGGTACTATTTGTGGGTAAGGAGGGAAGTTACAATTAGAAAGATAGCCTATGTTCTTCTACAGATGAAGCTGCTTCCTCCTTATTACTGGAAATAACCAACTCTAAGAGGTAGGGGCTACAGTGGACGTGGGAGGCAGAAGTCAGAGATGGAGAGACAGAGTAGTTGTGCCAGTTCCGTTCTCACCCTAACAAGATACCTGGGTAGCGGGATGGCAGCTACAAAGCTGTACACAATGCTGGTCTTTGAAAGGCTGGTTTGAATTTCTAAGCAGATATTAGGCAGCTGAGATGGCAAGCAGCAGAGGAATATCACATCGGCCCAACTCACCAGATTAGCATTTTGGTAAAAGCACTTGATTTTCAGCTTCTGGAGCTCACCTGGGAGGGATAAAGAAAGACAGAAAGAGCACAGTACTAAGGAGTTTGACCTGAACATCAACTATGGGGAGAAGATGATCATTATTTTAGCTCAGTAAATCAACCCAAGTCTTGCTGCTCCATGTATCAGAAGATACTCCTTCCTTCTAAAAGCTATGCAGCAATGCCCTAACTCTATCACTAAAGCAGCAGTAGTACTTGAAATATAATTCATTTTTTTTTTTTTGAGACAGAGTCTCACTCTGACGCCCAGGCTGTGGTACAGTGGTATAATCTCAGCTCACTGTAAACTCTGCCTCCCAGGTTCAAGCGATTCTCCTGCCTCAGACTCCCAAGGAGCTGGGATTACAGGCACCCACCACCACACTCCGCTAATTTTTGTATTTTTAGTAGAGACAGGGTTTCTCCATGTTGGCCAGGCTGGTCTTGAACTCCTGACCTCAGGTGATCCCCCCCACCTCGGCCTCCCAAATTGCTGGGATTACAGGCATGAGCCACCGTGCCCAGCCAAAATGGGTGTTTTTGGTTTTTTTTTTAATATTTTTATAAAGACGGGGTTTCACCATATTGGTCAGGCTGGTCTCGAACTCCTGACCTCAGGTGATCCACCCGCCTCAGCCTCCCAAAGTGCTGGGATTACAGGCATGAGCCACCGCACTCAGCTCAAAATGGGTGTTCTTATGCAATGTTGGTAAAACTTTATATCTGAAAACCTTTTAGGAGGTCAATTTTTAAAAATACATTAGAGGTTTCTTTAAATATTAAAGATATACCTACCACATGACCAGCCATTTCACTGCCAAGTATTTACCCAAGAAAACTAAAAGTATTTGCCCACATGAACACTTATGTACAGGTATTCGTAGCAGCTTTATTTGTAATAGCCAGAAACTGGAAAAACTGGAAACAACCTGGGTCAATCAGATAAATAAATTGTGGAATAATCATGCAAGGAAATATTACTCAGAAATAAAAAGGATATTGATACATTAAAAAAACTTGGAAATATTTTGGCTGGGCATGGTGGCTCACACCTGTAATCCCAGTACTTCGGGTCAGGAGTTCGAGACGATCAGCCTGGCCAACATGATGAAACCCCGTCTCTATTAAAAATACAAAAAATTAGCTAGGCATGGTGGCAGGCATCTGTAATCTCAGCTACTCGGGAGGCTGAGGCAGGAAAATTGCTTGAATCTGGGAGGTGGAGGTTGCAGTGAGCCAAGATCGTGCCATTGCACTCCAGCCTGAGTGACAGAGTGAGACTCCATCTCAAAAAAAAAAAAAAAAAGTGGTTATATTTCAAACAAATTATGCAGTGTGAAAGAAGTTAGACTAAAAAAAACACTACAAACTGTATGATTCCATTTATATAAAATTCTAGAAAATGCAAAACTACTCTATGGTGACAGAAATCAGATTGTTGGTTTCATGGGTGGAAAGCTTCAGGGAAGTAGAGAAAAAGGAATCACCAAGGACAAGGGGCAACTTTTGGGGGTTATGGGATACGTTCATTATCTTGTGATGATTTCACAGGTGTATTCGTGTCAAAACATCAAACTGTACACTTTTAACTGTGGCCATTTATTGTACAGAAATAATATTTTAGGGTCGCGCTTGGTGGCTCACAGCTATAATCCCAGCCCTTTGGGAGGCTGAGGCAGGCAGATCACTTGAGGTTAGGAGTTCAAGACCAGACTGGCCAACATTGTGAAACCCCATCTCTGCTAAAAATACAAAAACATTAGCTGGGCATAGTGGTGTGCACCTGTAATCCCAGCTACTTGGAAGGCTGAAGCGAGAGAGTCACTTGAACTGGGAGGCAGAGGTTGCAGTGAGCCGAGATCACCCCATTGCACTCCAGCCTGGGAGACAGAGCAAAACTCCGTCTCAAAAAAAAAATTTTTTTTTAATAAAGCTGTACCAATTCTTTGACCTAATAACTTTATTTCAAAAATTATGTATAAGGAAGTTCAACTAAATAAGGCACAGTTATATAAATTATGGTACATCCATATTTTGGGATACTATACAACCTTAAAATCTTTTTTTAAGTTAAAATTAATCTCTTACTAATAAAATTTTAAATCCAGAGATGAAAAAAGAAGAATGGTGTAGGATGTCTGGTGGTCTTAGCCACCACTGGGCACAACTACAGAGTCTGTGCACCCTAACACTGGGTACAGCAAGCACACCCTACTAGGGAGATGCAAAGGAGTGTGCCCAGAGCCTGCTGGGTAACCTTCTACTTGTGGGAAACTGGAGGGGCTTAAAATAATTATTTCTTATTTATCTATTTACTTATTTATTTAGATGGAGTCTCGCTCTGTCGCCCAGGCTGAAGTGCAGTGGTGCAATCTTGGCTCGCTGTAACCTCTACCTCCTAGGCTCAAGTGATTCTCCTGCCTCAGCCTTCTGAGTAGCTGGGACTACAGGTGCTCACCACAACAGCCAGCTGATTTTTGTATTTTTAGTAGAAACTGTGTTTCATCGTGGCTAGGCTGGTCTCAAACTCCTGACCTCAGATGATCCGCCCACCTTGGCCTCCCAAAGTGCTGGGATTACAGATGTGGGCAAATCATTATTTCAAAAAATGTTAAACGATAAGAGAATATGCTCATGATACATTATGTAACAAAAGCAGAATACAGACTGGGTGCGGTGTCTCACACCTGTAATCCCAGCACTTTGGGAGGCCAAGGCAGGCAGATCACGAGGTCAGGAGATCCAGACCATCCTGGTCAACATGGTGAAACCCCATCTCTACTAAAAAAAAATACAAAAAATTAGCTGGGCATGGTGGTGCGTGCCTGTAATCCCAGCTACTTAGGAGGCTGAGGCAGGAGAGTCACTTGAACCCGGGAGCTGGAGATTGCAGTGAGCAGAATATAAAAAACTATATACAGTGTTAATTACTGGTATAATTTAGAGAAAAAAAAAACAGGAAGGAAATGGTAACCAGGGTAGATTTTAGGTAGTTATATCCTTCCTTATAGAGAAATTTTCTACAATATGCATTATATTATTTTATATATTTTTATTATTGAAGTATAATTTATATATAATGCAACACATAGATATGAAGTGTATAGTTTGATCAATTTTGGCAAAAGCATACACCCATTTAAACCCATACCTCTCTTAAGATACAGAACATTTTGCCGGGCGCGGTGGCTCAAGCCTGTAATCCCAGCACTTTAGGAGGCCGAGGTGGGTGGATCACGAGGTCAAGAGATTGAGACCATCCTGGTCAACATGGTGAAACCCTGTCTCTACTAAAAAAAAATACAAAAAATTAGCTGGGCATGGTGGTGCGTGCCTGTAATCCCAGCTACTCAGGAGGCTGAGGCAGGAGAATTGCCTGAACCCAGGAGGCGGAGGTTGCGGTGAGCCGAGATCGCGCCATTGCACTCCAGCCTGGGTAACATGAGTGAAACTCCGTCTCAAAAAAAAAAAAAAGATACAGAACATTTCCATCTTCCCAGAAAAATTTCCTTTGGGACTTTCTCAGTCTATCTCCCCAGAAGAAATCATTGTTCTGATTTCTATCAACATAAATGAAATCACTACAAATTTTGTTTTGGTTTTTTTTTGTTTGTTTTGTTTTTGGAGGCAGAATCTCGCTCTGTCACCAGGCTGCAGTATAGTGGCATGATCTTGGCTCACTGCAACCTCTGCCTCCCCGGTTCAAGCGATTCTCCTATATCAGCCTCCTGAGTAGCTGAGACTACAGGCACATGCCACCACACTCAGCTAACTTTTGTATTTTTTTAAATTAATTAATTTATTATTATTATTTTTTAAAGAGATGGGATTTCACCGTGTTGGTCAGGCTGGTCTCAAACTCCTGACCTCAGGTAATCGAACTGCCTCGGCCTCCCAAAGTGCTGGTATTATAGGCATGAGCCACCATGCCCGGCCTAACTTTTGTATTTTTAATATAGACAGTATTTTTCCATGCTGGTTGGGATGGTCTCATGATCCAGCTGCCTCGGCCTCCCAAAGTGCTGGTATTATAGGCATGAGCCACCATGCCCGGCCTAACTTTTGTATTTTTAATATAGACAGTATTTTTCCATGCTGGTTGGGATGGTCTCATGATCCAGCTGCCTCGGCCTCCCAAAGTGCTGGGATTACAAGCATGAGCCACCGCACCTGGCCACAAAACATTTTTTAAAGTTCAGTAAATGTCATTTTAAAAAATACAAGGCCAACTGCAAATGCCTGGGACTGTACAACACCCAGCCAGACCCTAACTGATTCAGTTAGAAGATCTGAACTCTGTATGGAAAGCTTCCCTGTATCAAAGACCCAGAAAGATAATTCACCACCAAGGGCATAGGGAAAAGAGATGGATATAAAACAGACACATGGAGAAAAAAGTTGCTTTAAAGAACAAGAGAGAAAGCCATGCTTCTAACCTTGCTTAGGGCTAGCAAGCTGAGAACTCCGCATGCTGTATGCAAGGATTCCTCTTCGGAGGACCCTTTCAGAACGGCTTTGTTGACACCTACACACCTACACAGCACAACCAAGCCCCCTTTCTACCACACACTGCTCCTCACCCAGAGTCTCTGGCCTCCGAGTGGAGATCCGCAGACTTTCAGCAGGGATGGGGACGAGCTGCAGCAGTGTGTGAGCCAGCTGCTTCCCAAGGTGGCCTCCTCCAATGATGCCCACCTTTAACTCTTCAGTAGTGGCTGCATTGAGTGATACAATTGAGAGTTGTCTGGAATTTTGATTCTCATTTAAAGATGCTCTGGAGAATGAACACACACACACATCCATAAATATATGCACGCATTGTAGTTCTTAACTGTCAATCTCTGACGTTTTCTGCTTTCACTTTGTCATATAAGGTGCTTGGGGACACCTTAAGTACTTCAGAGATAAGGCATTTCACCTGTGTGTCATTTATCCAGCCTCACTAGGGAATGAAATGTTCCTCCTGAGTTAATTTTCCAGAAACAAAAGTATAACCCTTTTCAAGGGACCAACATTTTAAAATTTTAAATGAACATATTTTGTTATATGTTTGCCTGGTTGAACAGTCTGAATATTTAGTCATTTCACTGACTCAGGACACCATTGTGAACAGCCACTATTATACATCATACTGTAATGTCCATACCACACTGTGGGCCAGTCCCCTCATGTTTTGTTTGTTTCTGTGCAGACAGCTGTCAATTTTTTTTATATAGTGGTTAAAAGACACAGGCTGGGTATGGTGGCTCACATCTGTAATCCCAGCACTTTGGGAGACTAAGGTGGGTAGATCACTTGAGCTGAGGAGTTTGAGACGAGTCTGGGCAACATGGTGAAACCTCATCTCTACAAAAAATACAAAAATTAGCAGGGCGTGGTGGCACACACCTGTAGTCCCAGCTACCCAGGAGGCTGAGGTGGGAGAATTGCTTGAACCTAGTTTGAGGTTGCAGTGAGCTGTGCTCCTGCCATTGCACCCTAGCCTGAGTGATAGAGCAAGACCCTGTCTCAGGAAAACACACACACACACACACACACACACACACCCTAAACTTTACCATCATAACCATTTTTAAAGTGTGCAGTACAGTTGTGTTAATTATATGCACATTGTAGCTAGGCAGCCTGTAATCCCAGCACTTTGGGAGGCCAAGGCAGGTGGATCATTTGAGGTCAGAAGTTCAAGACTAGTCTGGCCAACATGGTGAAACCCCATCTCTACTAAAAATATAAAAATTAGCCCAGCATGGTAGTGTATATCTGTAGTTTCTGCTACTCAGCAGGCTGAAGCAGAAGAGTCTCTTGAACCCAGGGGGTGAGGGTTGAAGTGAGCCGAGCTCCAGCCTGGGTAACAGAGCAAGACTCCATCTCAAAAAAAAAAAAATTATATATATATATATATGCGCACATCGTTGTACAACAGATCTTTAGAACCTTTCCACCTTGCAAAACTGGAACTCTATACACTTTTTTTTTTTTTTTTTTTTTTTTTAAAGACAGAGTCTCCCTCCAATGCCCTAGCTGGAGTGCAGTGGCCCAATCTCAACTCACTGTAACCTTCACCTCCCACATTCAAGCAATTCTCTGCCTCAGGCTACTGAATAGCTGGGATTACAGCATCTCACCATATCCCATGCCTGGCTAATTTTTGTATTTTTAGTAGAGATGAGGTTTCCCCATGTTGACCAAGGTGCTCTCTCAAGTGATCCACCCACCTCAGCCTCCCAAAGTGCTGGGATTACAGGCACGAGCCACCACACCCAACCTCAAACTCTATACAATGATTTTTCTCTCTTCCCTGGAAACTACCCTTCTACTTTCTGTTTCACTACTTTAGCTACCTCACATAAGTAGAATTATGCAGTATTATCTTTTTGTAAATGGCTAATTTCAGTTAGCATAATGTCCTCAAGTTTCATCCATATGAATTTTTGGATTTTCTATTTTCATGAAAAATGCCATTGGGATTTTGATAAGGATTGCATTGAATCTGTAGACTGCTTTAGGTAGTATGGACATTTTAATACCAAGTCTTCCAATCCATAAACATGGGATATCTCTCCATTTATTTGTGTCTTCCTTAATTTCTTTCTTTATTTTTTTAAAAAAGTTGGGGTTTCACTATGATGGCCAGGCTGGTCTTGACCTCCTGACCTCAGGTGATCCACCCACCTCGGCCTCCCAAAGTGCTAGGATTACAGGCATGAGCCACCATACCCGGCCGCTTAATTTCTTTTGGCAATGTTTTGTAGTTTCAGTGTACAAATCTTTCATCCCCTTGTTAAGTTTATTACTAAGTATTTTATTCTATTGGAGATACTATTTTATTTTATTCTATTTATTCTATTCTAAGTGTGATTTTGGTAATTTCCTTTTCAGATTGTTCATTAGTGTACAGAAATGCAACTAATGATCATATGTTCATTTTGTATCCTGCAACTTTGCTGAATTTGTTTACTATTTCTAACAGTTTTTTCTTAATGGACTCTTTAGGGTTTTCTACATATAAGATCACATCAGCATGGGCTCAATGGGTCATGCCTGCCATCCTAGCACTTTGGGAAGCCATGGTGGGAGAACTGCTTGAAGGCAGGAGTTAGAGATCAATCTGGGCAAAATGGCAGGATACTGGCTCTACGAAAACATTAAAAGTTAGCTGGCCATAGTGGTGTGCACCTATAGTCCTAGCTACTTGGGAAGCTGAGGCAAGAGAGTCACTTGAGCCCAGAAGTTCAAGGTTATATGTAGTGGGCTATGCTCATGACACTGCATTCCAGCCTGGGTGACAAAGCAAGACTTTGTCTCAAAAAATGAAAAATATGAGCCGGGCGCGGTGGCTCACGCCTGTAATCCCAACACTTTGGGAGGCCGAGGCGGGTGGATCACGAGGTCAAGAAATCGAGACCATCCTGGTCAAC